GAAGACCTGCAAAGTCGGGTTGAAACGTTGACTTTTAATAAAATAGTTTTGCCACTATTAGGCCTATTTATGACCGCCACCACGGGCGGATCTACGGGGGGGGGGCTTTCGGGCTGAAGCCCCCCCAGAATGGAAAAATATAACCATGTTTTATCGAATAAAATATTAAAAAAGTATCTCTTAAATTATTATTATTCTTGTAATTACATTTAAAAAGCCTTTAGGAATAACTTAAACACCATTTCATATAGGTAGTTAGTTTCTTCCTTTTTTTCCAAAGTAATTATCGCTATTTTTATGAAAAAAAAACTTTCGGGCTGAAGCCCCCCCCCAAAAATAAATCCTGGATCCGCTAGTGACCGCCACCCCGGATCATCTAATTCGTTTATAATGGCAACGGTCAACTATTAAATATTCAATTCTTTACATTTTTTTTTTATATAAAAGTCGAAGTATAACTTTGATATCACTTTTATTAATTTTATCAAAAACATTAGCCTAATACTGAACGAGCGTACAAAGGGAGGGGCAATTGCCTCCTCTAAATAATTTGAATAAAATAAAACATAATATAACATATAAGTTTTGCCAAAAATTCGAGGAAATTAATTTTAAAAAATTTATTCTATATTTAAAAATGTTCTATGTATATATTATATTAAATATAAAAATCATAATAATATTTTTTTCTGAAAAAAATGTTCATCTTGCTCTTATGCTTACTATGAAAGCTGTGTACACTTGTAACAATGAATACAAATGTTTTAAACAAAATTTTAATTAAAAATAAGAATTTTAATGCAGCAGACGTTTTCATACATATTGATATAACATTATATATAATTACTTTAGTCAAAAGTTTTAAATTAATATCTTTAATGAAGTTCTTCATATTTTAGTACCATTTTAAGTCTTTTGGGATCAACTTCCATTGGGAGGGCATTTGACCCCATTTTTTCAAAACTTTAGTATCAAGATATATTATTTTTATTTTTGATCAATATAAATCCGTTAAAGTTTTCTAGGATTTAAAGTTCAAATTAGGACTACATAACCTACACGAAATGACACAAACCAGACTCCTATAAATATAATAGAACTAGAGAAATAAAACAAAAATCTTTCAGGAGTCTTTCTATATTTATTGTTTTTAAATGCTTCAAATCTAAAAGTAATTGATATGCTTTAGAAGAGTAATAAGTCAGCTTTCCAACGATCATAGATACACTGAATTAGGAGAAAATCCTGAGGAGTTATGATTCATATACTGAATAGAAGAGGGAAAAATTAAATAGAAAGTCACACCGCGTATCTATAGCAACACTGTCAACAGAACACTGCTATCCCTAACCCTATTATTACATCCCCATCCACACATATATTATTACAGTAAGGCCCGAAATCGGTTTTGTACCAAATATAAGCTTCTGTCGTGCTCAAATACCATGAATGGGGTACCGTTGGATTCAGAATACATGTCTCATTTCGTCGACTTGAGGTCCCTATGATCGAGAGAGGAGTTAATACTGTTTATCAAAGGTTTTTTTTGTGGGTAAGACATATCATCACTAATTCTTCATCAAATCAACAAGATTGAGTCACCAATTTTGAAGGTTCCCTTCAAAGTTCAGGCAGGAAAAATAGTTCAATCACAAGAAAATTTTAGAAAAAAAAGTTATGAAAGAAAAGAATTTTATTTCTGAATAATTCAAAAATTAAACATTTTTCTCTTGGTTATATCAATAATAATATAAAAGATTACATAATTCCCTACAAAAGAGAAATAAAAATTATCGAAATCAGACACTTATTATAAAAAATACAGCTTATTGAAATTTGTAAACATCTTGGTTTTTTTTTTTTCCCCTATCCCCCAGGAATTTCTTTATTTCAAAATATAATATATAAAGATGCAGAGTTGGTTGACCGTTGATATGATATGAGAAGGAATTAGTCGAGGGTGCGGTCAAAAAATAAAAAAAATTAAAATATATAAATAATTTTAATTTTTGCCAATTAAATACTGTTTATTAAATTATTATTAAATTAAAATTAAAATTATTTATATATTTTAATTTTTTTATTTTTTGACCGCACCCTCGACTAATTCCTTCTCATATAATATATAAATGTAAAGAATTATAAATACAAAAATTTTTTTTATTTACTTTTATTGCCCAAGGGCATTTTAAGGTAAAAGGGCATTTTAAGGTAAAAGGGCTATGCACGCTGTATACGTACTTTGCATCTGTGGCCAGAGGCCTTTTATTATATCACTGGAAAGATGTTGGTTCCAAACATTAAAGAAGTTTTAAATTAATTTTTGTTTCCTTTGTAGATTATATTTAGCGAGAAAGTAACCATTGATTTCTTTTATGATATTTTGAATTATTTTATTTTCATAATGATCTCGGTCAAATCACCTCCTTGCACAACCGTAGACCTAGAAACAGTGCTTTCCCTAAATAGTACTGAACCCCAGACCCTTCATGGGTTGTAGTGGTACAGGTTTTTTTTTTTTTTTTTTTTTTTTTATTTTCATAATAATTTATTATTTGATCGCTGAACAATATACTGTGCGAATTTTCGCATGGGCCTACTAGTTATTATTTTAATTCTATATATAAATTTTTAAAAAATAATTAAAGTATTTCTGGTCAAATTTTGGTCAAAAACCACTGGATGGTTCTAACATATTATATATTCATCAAGTTGATATTTTCAAATTACAAAAATTTTTAAATTCATTAAAAGTAAAGTTTAAAGTCTTTCGATAAATATTTGTGAATACATAATTTTCATCAACAACAGACTAAATATAAATATCTTCATATTGGTCCAATTTTTGTTTAAGCTAAAAAGATGCCAGTATGACTGATGCGTTTTGACACTTTTGTTATTGATGTCATTCTTGTCAATCTTAAGATTGCCATTCATGACTGATAATGCAGGGTCTGCTTATTCTCACTGAAAGGTGAGACAGTGTTTGAGACGAAAACAGTAATCTCCGTATCATTCGCTTGTTGTTAGTTTATATTTAAAAATTTAAATGCGAATTGAGAATATTAAAGTTGGTTTTTGAATAGTCCACGACCTAAGACCCATGGGTCTTAGATTCAGTACTATTTAGGAAAAGTATTGTTTCTAGGTCAACGGTTCTGCAAGGAGATGATTTGACCGAGATCACGCTCAATTAGTATAATTGAAGCAAAGCGATTTTCCAGATGATCAGAAACTCAGTTAACTTTGATCAATATTGACAGTTTATTATAATAAGTGACGAAGTACAATTTTGATGGGTATTATTACCTATTTATTGATATAAAAAAAAATATTTTAATTAAAACAAAACCTTGATTACGCTAATAACTCTATCCATTTTAAGAAACAGAAAATGATGCATATTTTCATGAAAATATAAGTGGGTTGTTTGTTAGTTTTCATGAATATTGTAACTTAGTAAAGTATTCGGGTACCCTTTATCCCCGAATGAAACTCTTGTCTCTTCTGACAATACATTAATTTACCTTCTAATAATAATAATTTAAAATATCAAGCTTAAAAATCAATCCAGCTGTTTCCTTAAAAAATTGTTACATACCTTTTAGCTGTAGTAGACATCCCCCTGTATTTACTCCTTTAGATGAAAATGTGTGAGGGAATGAGAAGAAATACATAATATATAGGGATGTGAGGTTGCACTGTGAATTGTACTCAATTGTGCAGTGGACAAATTGCTCATTGGAAAATATCACATCGATAAACAATCGAAAAGAAGAAAAGGCCCGATCAGGTAGCTGGCAACAGATGGTGAAGAGGACGCCAAACACTTGAGGCCTGGACACCAACACAAGAAGACGTCATCTGGGAAGGGAGGCTTACTCCATTGAAGACTAAGAATATCAAGCCTACAGTTATAAGACTTTTATACATTCATTTATTGCAGTTGTAAATAAATTGTTTTATTATACCGGAGTGAATAGTCCTTTTATTTAGTTGTCCTATAGACCTCACAATTGAAGAATAAACCAGATGAGTCAATTCATACAAAGTCTTTACTAAGTCCCACATTATATATATATATATATATATATATATATATATATATATATATATATTCTTATTGTTTCTTCTCACTCAATGTCACAAAAGGTAATAGATCCCCGAATTCCCAATCACAGTTAAACACCTTCAAAAAGTCGATATCCAGTGCCGGGGTTTTGTTTTAATATTCAGGAGTGTAAATAACCTTAAGCCCCGATATAAAAGTGGAAGGCTATTCGCCTATTCCCGCCAAAACAAATCATTTAAAATTAACTTCCTGTAGGTTATTTACATAGCGGACAATCCAAACACTTGCATCACTGCCTTTTCAAAACACTCACAGGATCTCTCCAAATAATTTAAAATACCAAACTTAAAAATTGTTCCAGTCGTTTATTCAAAACATCGTTACATACCTTTTAAACACATTTTATTTAATAATTAGTCAGTAGTTTTAGCTTTAATTGTTTTAAAACGCTCACGAGATCTCACAGAATAATTATAATATCAAATATTAAAAACAATCCAGCCGTTCACTTAAAAATCTTTAATCTTTGGCACCCTTAATATATAACCCTTGTATAGCTTTGCTTAATCAATTAACACTCATGCGTATCAAAATGGAATAAACTCTTTAAATATCAAATATTGTTGTATTAGTGCACAATGTTTTGATTTGAAAGAGTAAATTAATCAAAGTAGTCAGTGATTTAAGTTTAATGAAATGTCACTTAATGAATTTTTTTAATAAATTAAAGAAATAATTATTAATTAATTCATAACAAAATAATTTTATTTAGAAGCCAATTGTTATCATTTTTATTAAAAATTTAATTTAACAAATTACTGATAGTATGAAATTGTTCACAATTTCACATAATTATTTTTTCTAAAGTGATCCTTAAAAAAACAAATATTTGAACACATGAGGCAGGTAAGGGAAAAAAAGACAACAGTATCATAAAAAAATGTTTATTGTGTTGTATTTTTATTTAAAATCAATATACATATTGTATAAAATATATATTACTTCCACAGAAAAAAAAAACTGAAATAATTAACAATAACAGATAATATACCTTCACATTTAGGATTCATTGAGGCTGTTCCAGTCTTATAAATTAATGTCCAATAGTTAAAATCATTGATCAATTAACATTGTTACGAACTATTTCTATCCCACAAAATTAATACAACACAATTAAATAAAAATAAAAAAACTGACTGACCACTATCGTCTCATTGAACAATGTAAAATAAAATAATATTAACTCTGCAAAAGTAGTCTCAATTTGAATGCTTAAAATTTAATTAATATAAAAATAATGCCAGTTAATTTATCTATTTTCATACATGCACATCATCAAATAGTATTTATACAACAATGATTAGATCGTTTTCTGAAATTATGTTTCATATTTCAATTCAATTTCAGCTAGTAATAACAAAAGGAACGGTTCTAACAAGAAAAATGAAAACTTACATTTAATTCATCAATATTCAATCAACAAATATCTTACCTCTCTTGGATGGCCAAAGTGAGAGAAAAACATCCTTTCAGAAAAAATCTCATCAGAATATTTCGATATAAAAATTATGGTCGTGCACAAACAGCTAAAATGAATCCCTCTGCTAATAATTAAACAATATATATATTTACAAGAACATATTTCAACTAAAAAAAAAAAAGAAAAAAAAAGAAAAAGGAATATTTTACACAATTGAAACAATATAAAGACTATATATATTTATATAAAACTAAACATTACATCTGACAGTTTGTGCACAACCATAGAAAAATATTAACATATATTATAACAACTTTTCTAAAACTAAATAATTCTAAAAGTCTTTGTACAGTAACTTGAATTAACTATATTTACAATTTGCATTGTATAAAAAAAATTTACAATGGCTAAAACGGGTTGACTTTTTCAGAACATTGTCATACAGTCACCAGCTCTGAAAGCACTTAGGGCTCCTAAGCACCAGGCAGCTTTTAAATAGTATAAAAAGATCTATATAAAATTATTATTTATATATATATAAAAATCAAAAAAGGCACAATAATCTCGTCTTAGAGAGCATTTTCGGTTTGAGCAAAAGTCATCTGTATGCTCACAATCGATGGGAAAAGATAAATAATTGTTGATAATAAGAGATCTGAACCGAAATTATCACACTTTGTATCATATGTAGATGGCATCGTGGTGCTTGGCATTGTTTGGGCTGCTGATGCCCTCCGACCAGTCCGAGTTGCTGTGTGGCGACGAGGAGGACCAATGCCACGGGGACTCTGGGCTCGGGGTGGGGAAGGACTCTGGCGCAGGCTCAGACGGGGGCGTCAGGTAGTGGTAATATCCCTGTTGGCCGGGAGCGGTCCCCGTCTGGTAGAGCTGATAGGGGAAGCCGAGAGCCTGCTGGGTGGCGGCTCGCATCGCAGCCATGTGAGTGGGCGAAGTCGGTAATCCAGGGCGACCCTTTGCCGGGCTGACGCTGGCGGGCGGGCTGGTCACGCTGCAGTACTGCTGGTACTCCCCCAGCGACTTGAGGCAGTCCTCGTAAGGGGGCGGGAGCCCGGGGCTGCTATAGACACCTCCGCCTCCTCCGTCCTCTTCCTTCTTCTTCTTGACGCTAGGCTTTCTCCTCATCACCGTCTGCTGGCTGTCCCCTGTAGCTTCAGGGCTTTCTCCCTTAGCCCTCTTCTTGCTTCCCTTGTTTCCTTTGCCTCCTCCCACAGGCGGTCCTGTCATCACTCCTGGGTGATTCATCAGATGTGGATGATTAGGCGAACCTACAAAATGACCTAACAATAAGTGAAGAGGTATCAAATTGAGTGAAAAGATGTGATTCATGTAATAATATCTTAAATTATAAATATAATAAATGATTAAATTAAGTTTCAAATCAGATTTATAATTGTGTAATTGCCTGGAGAAAAAAATTATTAAAATTTCCAAATCCAAGTGATAAAGAACATATATATAAGAATGAGAATACATTAGAACTAAATAATTTAAAAAAATCTCTGAGATGTGGTTGGGACTTGGGGGAGAGGGCATGGCCTATGTCTTTTATAGTTTGATCTCAATTTGACACACATATCTGCCAAACACAATACTGTCTAAGTTTTCCTCAGTTCTAATTTATTAAAATTTTTTTACAAAAGCTAATATAATGCATTTTAAAATTTAGAGATGACAGAATGAGAGAAAAAATAGAAATATATTTCTTGGATGTAAGTTTTGAAGCTAAAAGCACTAATTAAATCTAAAAAGTATAAAATACTCGATGATCTGAGTTAGCTGGAATGTCATGACCATCAATGAATATTATGCAAATGTCCAAAACTTTTATGATGCATATTAGGAAAGATAGTTAGCATTAAAAAAAAATTGTGAGAATGTAGCTAAGGCTACATTGTAGCGCATCTTGTACCGTTTATTATCTTATACTAATGTTTCCAGCTTCGAAAATCATAACCAAGAAATATCTTTCAGTTTTTTCTTCCTCTCATTTTTGCCTCTTAATGAAAGTATTTACTTCAAAAATTAATTTTATTAGTTTTTATGAAATAGAACTAAGAGACACTTTGACAACATCATGTTTAGCAGCATTTTAAGTCACATTAAGGAGGACTAAGGCCATGCCGTAAGTCTTCACCACATCTTCGAAACACATTATAATTTCAAGTATTTAGCTAAATTTGAACCTTTTATTTATTATTTAAAAAATGCTATATCAATCTTATATACTTCTTTTATCACTTGAATTCTATAGCAGCTCAAATTTATGTGATTTTATTTCATGCAAGATCAACAGAAAAAGATATCATTTGAACCGCAATCAAATTTTTTTTCTAAAAAATAAATATTTTATATTTTCTTTTTTTTTTTTTTTTTAGAATTTAGAAAAAATTATAAAACATAATTATTATATGACACTTACCTAATAACTGTGGGTTGGGCACGACGGATAGGACCTGCGGAGACCTTGGCACATGTTCGTCCAGCAATCTAACAATATCGGTGTGCAGCCGCTCGCTGGCAACGTCTCGAGGCAACCGATCCATGTGGTCGGTTATCTCTCGATTGCTGAAGTTGTCCAAGAGAGCCTTGCAAGCTTCAAAGCTTCCTTCTCGAGCAGCGAGGAACAGAGGGGTTTCATCCTGCACAATAAATGAATAATTAATAATCAAAATAAGGGATATAATAAATCAAGCATTACTACCTACACTATATTAAATCCATTTTCCGACTCTCAGGAACGATAGAATTTGATGAATGAAGTATCAAAAGAAAGGGAATTTCATAGAGAAGTGACAAAATCGAAAAAATTTTACTACAACTATTGTAAAAGTCATTGAAAAAATTGAGAGGTTTCAAAAGTTGACTGAGATAGGATAAATTGTGTTTTAAAGATTTCGATGTGGATATCAAGACCAAAGGAGCTATACCAGACCCTGCATTTTAAAGCCCAAAAAACAGTATCTATAGAAAAAAAGGTTAGCTTGCCAATTCATACTTGACTTTATTTTAAAATTAATGTTTAATTTTAATATAAATAGTGTAAATAATAATAGTTTGTCTGAAAAGATGTGATTGTCAGTAACCCACACCTGAGATAAATAAATATATTAATTCTCTTATAATTTTGTCTATTATTAAACAAACTCTTATTTATTTAGGAAGTATCCCAATAGTAAGAAGTGAGCTTCCAATGTTATATTATTATTATTTGTGAAATATAAGAGATATGTTACATTATATACAATTTAAAAAATTATTTAATTTAATTTAATCCAATTTGTATCATAAATAACTTACCTTATCATCTTGAGCATCTCTGTTCGCTCCGTGCGTTAGAAGTATGTTAACAGCGTCAACATTATTTACAGCTGCAGCCCAGTGCAGAGCTGTTTTTCCAGAATTATCGGCGGCGTTAATATCGGCATCGGCATTGATGAGGTCTTCAACCATTCCTTCAATAGCAAGTCGTGCTGCTAAAATAAGGGGAGTAGTTCCATCGTGCATTCGAGCGTTAAGATTTGTTGCTCTGTTTCTCAGAAGTATCTGTAAAAAATAATCACAATAAGTTTTTAGTTTTTACAATATTGGTTCTTCAATTATCTAAATTTATATTTTATAATTTTCGTGAATATAGAATTATTTTGAAGAAAAAACTATGGTTTGAGCATAAGAACACAAGATAGAAGTTATAACATCAACAAGGCAGGGTTAATAATAATATGAAATATAAATTTCTTTGTTCTATACTCACAAAGTTTTATTTTTAAAAATATTTCTTTAAATGAGAATTGGCTTCAATAAATTACAGTCTTTCTTTAGCTTTTATTTATAAACATTTCTCTTTTTCAATCATATTTTTTGAAATTGCAATAACCTAAACAATGAATGAACATCCAGAATTTGATGTTATCGACATAACATCATTTGACATAATCAAAAATATTAGTGTGAATATATTAAATCATACTGAAATCAAATGTCTTTATTATCTTATACATCTCTTGGTCTTTGGCCATTACTAGTTAAGTCGAATTATTGTCACAATGCGTTAAGTCGATCATTCTTTAACTCTTGAACTCTTACCCCATTAGTAAAATTCGGTAGCTCTAATAGAGTTTTATCAATGGCGTAAGAGATCAAGATTTAAAAAATCATCAACTTAATGCATTGTGAATATAATTTGAATTAACTAGTTATGGCCAGGGACCAGAGATATTCCAATAGTTTTTTCGTGCTATATTTTTATCTTTCTGACTCTCTAACTCGGCGTAGCGTTAAAATACAATTCTGAATAACAGATCATTACAAAGTGGATGAAATACTGAACATTTCCCCAGCTTACAGCATACAGATTCAAATCTTTCAGTTTTTTAGATATTTCAATCCTAATGCAAAAATTAGTCAACTCGAGACTTGGTCTGAATCAGCATTACATAGCTGAGGGTGACGACTCAGTCTCAATCAATATCCAAAAAATAAAGTACTAAGCGTGCCTAAATAGGTTTTCACTTCAAAAAAGTTTATGTAAAGAATGAACTTTCTACATTGATGGTTCAACTGTTAATACTTTATAAGTACATAAGAAGTGAGTTAAGACTTACGAGATTTTATAAGTGAAGAAAAATTGTTCACATTATTAAAATTAAATAAGTGTTACCATTTTTTAATACCCTAATAAAAAATAGATGAATTAACAGGAAAAACATCTAAAAAAAATAGCAATGAAAGCTAATAGAAACGTGTCGGTTAAAGATTTATCAAATGTCCCTTAACTACTTTTCAAGTCTCTAATAATAAAGCCGCGAAACATACCTGAAATACTCCCATGGCATCAGCAGCGACAGCGGCATGAAGAGGCGTTCGTCCAGTGTTATCTTGAGAGTTTGCTTCGGCCCCAGCGTCAAGTAGTCTTTTAGCAGCATCAGCTCGGGCGTACCTTCACAAGAAAATTATAAATGAGTTATTACAAAAAAAAATAATACAAATGAAAATTAAACAAAGATTTTATGCTCTAAATTTCATAGATCACAAATAAAATAGATTCAACTCTGTGCAATTCTGACGTCTCCGATCATACCACTGTATTCCAATGATTAATGTCCGATAAATATAAATACAATCTTTAATATTTTTTAATTCGATTACTCAATTTTGCTTTTGATACATGTATATTTATTTAAAAATAATAATGTCAAACAACAAAACAAAATGTCAAAAAGTTTTCTTAGTTTATTATGTTTTTATAATTAGTTATTTGTTCAACTTATAGCATTTTTTTTTTTTAATTAAACATTTTTGAAGACAATAGTTTTTTTATTATAAGACTTCAACCAAAAAGTTAATTTATATTATTTTATGATCTGAAGTTATTGAAAGCAAAATAAGGTTATTTATTTTTATTGAATTCGAAGTGCTAACTAAATCTATCCCTATATCAGAGTGGCCTTTACCGGATTAAGCAAAAACTTTTTGAAATTAGCTTTTTTCAAAGTTTATTGAATAAAAAAAAAATCAATTATATATAAAAATGTAATATCAGTTCAAACCCTACCTGGCAGCAAGGTGAAGAGAAGTCTCTCCGGTTTTGTCCATCGTAGCATTGAGTTCAGCTCCCTGAGCCACCAAGTCAGCAATGACAGCAGCGGTACCATCTTCCTCGTCTTCTTCTCCTGTATCCAGTCCTCCTCCCTTGACAGCTGCGACCATCAAGGGTGTCATGCCGCAAGGTCCTCTAACGTCGACAGATTGTGTTTCCTACAAAATGTTTTGAGTCAGTATGCATTCATATTCATTTAAGATTATTTTTTTTTTATATTGCTATATAATTACCATGCTCGGGGGAGTGAGTATGACATTTCTGGTATCGGGCACATGATGAGCCCACATATCATCGTAGTCGGTGACAGCCGTGTGGTCGGAGGCATAGCCATTGTCCCTTGCTCTCTTTGCCGGCGGTAGATCACCTTCGTCGTCAGACCAGTGAGGAGGTCCCAATCCACCACTCACCTCAACTCCCTTGGATAAGTTTCTCATCTCCTGCCCATCTGGGCCTCTCCTCCTTGATCGACGTCTTGGACCACTAAACATTACAATTAATAAGTAATATAAATCTCTCTCTATATATATTTTATTAAAAGTAGATTAGATTATACAAGAATATAATATACCTGTTAGTTCTAAGGAAACCTTCTGGAAACCAAGTGATGCCATGTGCACGCTTCCTTTGTGCCGTCACGAGAACACCGAGAAGTAGACCGACAAGAGTGACAAGAATGATTCCTATAAAGACAAACTTTCCAGATGTTGGTGCTTCCGGAAGAGGAGGTTCTGCACCAGACACTCCTTGAACTTTTACTATTGGAAAAGATGTGGAGAGAGCATGGTTTTGAGCTGTAGCAGCCAAAAATCCTGCAGCCTTTTAAAGAAAAATTCAAACATTAGATAAATAATATATATATATATATGAAAAAAAGATTTTATGGAAAATAATATCTAATTGATATAAGTACCTCATTTGCTGTTGGGAAACATTCTCCACCAGGACTCGCTGTACACCTTCTGTTGTCTATTTCAAGGAATGCAACGACTCCTTTAGAATTTTCTTCTTGAACATTCCACGGGTAGATCATTTCTCTACCATCGTTTCCATTCTTAACGCGAACTGTGGCCCTCAACTGATGTCCAATCTACAAATAATTGGTTATCATTAGAGACAAATTTAATGTTATTGATAGCAAGTAAGAATAAACAAAGAGTCACTTACGTCTCGAAGGAAAGAGACAAGATTGTCGCGGAACATTTGGAGATCCATTTGCACGACGACAGATATCGCACCTTCAGCGAGCCGAGGTGGTTCTTTCTCACAGTCCAGACCGTCCCAGTTACATTCGGCATTGTTACAACCGTAGTCACAGTACCCGTTTGCGTAGTGTTTCTGACAGTAGGCATCATAGATGGGGCTGTAAGTTATTAAATAATATAAGTATACTTACAAAAAAAAATGTAAACTGCATAATGAAAAAAGAAATATTATTTTTTTGTAGCTGGGAATATTATAAACTTTTGTCTTCACATCTATAAAAAGTAATGATCGGTAAGAATACTCACTTGCAAGGAGGAAGATTCTTCTCACAATCCCTTCCATCAAATAGACATTGCGGATTATTGCATTCCTCGTCACAGCGTCCGTTCATGAAGACTTGCCAACATTGAATCGATGCGGTACAGTTTCGCCATGGATTCACACCTATTACATCAAATCATATTTTTTAATAATAATTTTTAATAAGATTTTATGTATATTCACATTTATATTCATATATATTTAAATACCAATCAGTCAATATTTCAAAGCCTTTTAATGGTCCACAATGCTTCAAAACTAAATTAAATTTTACATAACTTTTTTTCCGGAATTCTAATAAAATCTTCCAACTTCTAAAATATCACCTTAATTTAAAATTTATTTATTTTTTCCTTTTTGATGTTTCGAACAATGTTCATTTTCAATAATTTACTTTCTTATTTATATTTGTTTATATAAAAATATTTCATTTTCTTGTAACAATACCAATCTTTATTCTTTTAAAAACTTTTTTTTTTTTTTTTTTAATTATATCTCGCTCTTCATTATACTCATTGAATACTTTTTTATCACCTTAACTGTTATCCCCTAATTATTTTGTTTTACTCTTTTTTCTGTCAGCCTTATTTTAACAATTAATTTATTGTTTTATATAGGAATTATTTTAAAAAATCGATTATATCAGTTACATTTAATACCTTACATATTGAGTCCTAGAAGTTAAGTCTCACTTATTGAGATATTAAATAAAATGTGTAAAGATAATAGCTGTAGAAATAACAGTGTTTGGGGGTCAACAGTTAAATTGATCAAAGGTATTCGATAAAATCTGTATATATTGAATGGCATTGCAATATATGTTTTTAAATAAAAATAAAAAAGGACAACTAGGGCAGTAAAGTATTAGGTTTTTAAAAGTAAAACAATTGGTTTTGTATCAAGAAAATGAAATATTTTTGTAATATATAAATAAGAAACCCAATAAGATATAAGTAAGAAAGGCAATTCTCGAAAGTGGATAAACCTGGTCCGAAACTTCTAAAAGGAAAAATGAACAAATAAAGGTATTTTTTTGGAAGTAAAGTTTGACTGAAATTCCTGAAAAGCATTCAATAGAATATATACTTAAATAATGAACCAACCGCTATTATGTAGCTATTTCACTGAAACTGCTCAATGGGGTTTTTATAACCTTCGAACATTTCGATTATAACTTTGAAGATAAAACAATGGACTTACTATCTCTTGTTACCGCTTTTTATTAGAAGAGGAAGAATAAGCAGTGGAAATCTTGTTGATAAGGAGGCTGAATATCAGCAAAATATTCCGAACAAGAAAGCAGGAAGGGTTTCATACGAAATTGATGACTACTCGTCTGATGGCTGACGAAGAGAAATTTAAGAAAATTTTTAGATTAAATAAATGTCAGTTCAATTTTATTTTGAGTATGATAGAACATGATATAGTAATTATTACATAATTGATTAGTAATAAATATCATATATTTGTAATGAAATCACAGCAGGCGATGTTTTATCGTTTTATTAATAGTAATTAGTAAATCAGCACTTTTAATTAAAAAATACAAATCACGTGGATTTTAGTATTTACCTGACGTTAAAATTTGTTAGGTTATTTAATTTATTTAATGTTATTTGGATATCGCTGTAAAATATTATTGGTGGAATAAACAAATAAATAATCTTGTTACTTCACCCTTAAAAAACTAATTTACTATTACATTGTTTAACTTTTAAACAATATTTATTATAATTTTGCCAGACTTGAAAGAAACATAATCAATAAAACGTATCAACGTGACTGTTATCAAAACAATGCTCCGATATGATAGCATAATCTACAGCCATTGAACCGTCAACAGATTGACTGCTTCAGAAGCTGTCAGATAGCAGCGGCCTATACCTAGTTATACCTAGACTGCCGAGCAGTGCTAAAGAAATAGGTTCCTTTCTATTCCACTAAAGCAGTGCTCAACCGCAAACGGTCGCAGCTGTGGGCAGTACCAGCAAAATAGTACCTTTAAAAGTGATTAAGATAAATATTTTGTTTTGTTTTTCTACCTTATTTTAACAGTTAGCTCATTATTATATATAAGAATTATTTTTAAAAATCTTTTAATTAATAACTAGTGAATAATTCAAATTCCTTAAAAGTAACAATAAGAATTATTTTCTTCTAATTACCTAGTGAGCAATCATTTCCATCAAAACCACAGGCCAGAGTATTACATTCTTCATCACACCTGTAGTTACCAGCCTTCCTGAAGCAGCCGTTGACCTCGCATTTCTCTCTTTCAAGTTCCATTTCTGTCTGCGTCACATGTTGTGTTGCCTGCTATAACAAATATTTATGGAATTCGGTTACAACTGCACAATGCCTTTATTTTTATTTATTTATTTTTTTTAAGATGAAATTAAAGAACTGCTACATACCTTCATTAAGCTGTCACGGCCAAGCCCACCTCTGAAGTTCGGATCATATTGATGACAGTTCTTGCCCTTCCATTTCGGTGGGCAATAGCAAGCATACTCTCCGACTTTGTTCTGGCAGACTCCTTCGTGTTGGCAAGGTTCTGAGGAGCATTCATCAGCAGTGTCAATTTCACAATGACTTCCACCAGATCCTGAGAAAAAATCAGATTTTAATTTAAAATTTCATAAAATATTCCATAAGTGTTGCTGTTGGTACAAGAATATAGATAACTACATTGTAATTGTATCTACTTAGATCAGATTATTATTATATTCTTTCATATAATTGTGATTGTTTATATATTTTTTAAATAGTTTTAGGCAAGCAAAATAAAAATTAAGATGTTACCATCATTTTTTAAAAAATATTTTAATATTTATTTAAATTAATTTCAGTAACATGTAACCTAGTTTGGAACTTTGATAAAGTCTTAATTTTATTTTCTCGTTAGATTTCATAATAATATCAATATTAAATCCTTTAAAAAGTTTACTTACATTTTTAATGTATTTTGAAATTTATATAGTTTCTAATAATATTTACACTTTTGTACATATTTTTTTGTATTCAAACAAAAATCATTTTACTTCTTTACATATTAACTTAGAAAAAAAAATTTAAAATATATGTCAAACTAATAAGAAAAGCTTTGATCTATTTTTGCTAACTAAAACAATAACATTAAGCATATTATAGTCGTATAACTTTTCAAAGAGCATGGGTACACGGACGTACGAAGTTTAAGATACAAAGATTAGCGATGAGTGGCAACGCTGTACTCCATTGATAAAACAACATTATTATGATTTAGGATAATTTAATATTACAATAGATTGTTGTCAATCTCAATGTGAAACCATGTAAGGACATAAAATTTATAATTAGGGTTATTTTAATTTTATTAAATTTTATGAAAAATTGTTAATATGGTCTACTCAGTAGTTATTACTTTCTAGTAATATAGTAGTATAGTCTCTAGTTTCTAGTAGCATAGTACCTACTAATTTAAAAGAAAAAAAATCTCAATGTAATAAATATATTAAGTTTTTTTTTTATTCTACTAAAAAATGGGTTTTGTAAGTCACATAGTTTCATCAAATTCACAATACGACCGGTGTAGTGTTTATTTTTTTTATAAATACTAGTTAATATTGTATAACTAAAAATTTATTTCTGTAAAAATATATATAGTCACATACCTGGTGGACAATCACAGATATACCCTCCGCCATCGAGCGTCCGACAGGCACCGCTATTTTGACATGGATTCGATGCGCAGTCAAAGCCGAAGAATTCACAATTCCTTCCTGAATAACCATCGGGGCACGAACACGAGTGGCCCGTGTCTAGAGCTGTACATAATCCACCATTTTGGCAAGGGCCGCTTTCACAGAAATTGACCTATAAAATAAGAAAAACCATTTTTTTAAAATATATTATCAATCAATTACAAGCACACTGTTTTGAGAAAATTTGAAAACAAAGTAATAAATACTTATTTTCAAATTTCAAGAACAAATCGTCGGTTTATTGAAAAAAAAAGTACATTTTTTATAAATGTTAACTTTCTAACATGTTTTTGTGAACTTCAACCTTATTTATCTTTTAAAAAATAGTGTAAGTACATGAAAATTACACAAACCGGTTTATTTATCATATATAGCTACACTAACTGTACAATTTTTCTAATTTCACAAACGTAAAATTCATTACAGTAATTAACTATTTGAGGTTATGAAACATTACTTAATGTAATCTTGCAATAAAATAATGAAATATATTTTTAATTATATTAAAATATATTTTTTTAAATTAAAATACAACAGTTTATTTTGACTTTCAAATTTAAAATATTAATTATCTATTGTAAAATTTGAACTTATTGTATGAATTTAAAAATGATGTCCTATTAAATTATTTTTATATTTTGGTATAACTATTCATTTTTGATATTTTTAAATTAATGTTAATGTTAATTTTAATTAATTTTTAATTTGCTATTTAATTTAAAGACCAAAGTAAATTATTATGAGTATTGATTTAATTATATTTTTATCAAATTGTATATATTACACCAGATCTTAAGATCGAATAAAAGACTATGCTACATTTTGAATTAATAGTAACTGATACAGACTCCACTAGTATTGAGTAAATTGTAACAAGTACATATTTTGATATTATTCACCTTGAATTCACAATGCCTGCCCATATATCCAGTTTTACAGTTACAATGATAGTTGTTGACCAGTTGGACGCAGTCTTGTGTACCAGGTCCGGCACATGGGTTACTCAGGCATTCGTTTATATCTCCTTCACACCGAGGGCCAACGAAACCCGGCGGGCAGATGCAGTCGAAACCGCCGATTCTATCTATACACGTTCCATTGTTGTGGCACGCTCCCATTACGCACTCGTCTACATTAATATCACAGATTATGCCCAGAGTACCTTGAAGAGAAAAAAACAATTATTTTAAAGGTCTGTTAAGAGCTGAATAAAATAATTTAAAACACTTAATTATTAAAATAAATTATTTAAAAAAAAAGAAAAATTTCAAATTCAATAATAGGTTCAAACACAGTAAACCCTCATTACAACTCAATGGGACCAGAAAATCATTAGTTTATTTTATCTGAATAGAAACAAAAATAACTATGTATATATTATATATATTTTAAAAATAAATATCCAATGCGTATAATATTTTTTATTAAAATTTCTGCTGGTTACATGTGAATATATTAAATTATCAAGATAGTTAATGTAAATAAAAGAGAGAGAAAAATTAAGTTATAAGACTTGACAAAACATAATTTAAGGTCCTTGCAAACTCTGACTTTGAGATGAAGAATTAAAGGATACTTATAATATGCCTTTCTGGTTCATTGAACCAATGTTATTTCTCATTAGGGATTAAAAATAACGTGTTATAGAAAAATCAATGTATTCTTGGAGGGGGATTCGATTTGGGTTCTTTTTAATGAGGAGCTCGTAGTAACAAGGGTTTACTTAGTAGTTTACTGAATATGTAATAAATCAATTAACTAGCTAAGTGATAAGAAAAATTACCATGTGGGCAAGAGCATATGAAGCCGTTGACTAGATCATGACAGGTACCGCCATTTTGGCATGGTTTCCGAGAGCAGTCGTCCACATTGAGCTCGCAGTTCTGCCCTTGGAAACCAGGAGCGCAATGACATATGTAGAGACCAACTAGATCTTGACAAGTTGCGCCGTTCTGGCACGGAGCTGAATCACATTCATTTATCTCAATATTACAATAAGAGCCGGTATAGCCTTCTTGACAATGGCACCTGTGGCTGTTACCGAAGTCCTCGCATGTTCCATTATTGCAGAGATTGTCACGACTGACACCTAAAAAAATTAATTATTTAAAATATGTATATTTTATAGAATATTAAGGTTTTAAACAGATATTTCATATAATTTCAAGATACAAAATAAATAATCTACGAGTCAAATATGATAATTACCTTTTCTTTGGGCAGCATCCTTGCAAGAAACCATTTGAACATCACAGACTTTTCCAGTCCACCCAGGTGCGCAAGCACATTGGTATGTATTCTCCTTCTGCCTACACTGGGCACCATTTTCACAAGGTTCCGTCGCACACCAGTCCACATACTGATCGCAGTGTTTGCCTGTATAGCCATATGGGCAGTGACAGGTATAGTAGTGAAGGTGGTCAATGCATGTGGCACCACTAGCACATGGGTTTGAATCGCATTTGTTAATTCTTGTTTGGCAATTTGAACCAGTGAATCTGAAAAGCAATTTATAGAAAAATATTAATAAAATGTCCTAATATAATAAACATTAAAAAAAAAAAAAAGGCCTTTACAGATTAACAATGCATTTTTTTAAGAATTATAAATTGACTTATTTATTTCTAAAATGAACCGTTTTCATGATTGACAAATTTAATATCTAAACAAAAAATTGAGAATTTCTTTATTTGTAGCACATATCTTTGAAAACCATTTGATTATTTAATAGTAATTAAAAAACATTGAACCTTGGATTGGGCCGCAACAAATTAAACTTTAAGGTCAATTTTGGAAGATAAAAATAATTTATTTTTAATGTTCATTGAAAAAGCTTTTGATTAAGTAGCTTTTAAAAATACTTAATACATGTCATTACATTCCTTTAAAAAATAAAAGGTCTGTTTTGGACATAAAACTTATGTTTTATGTACTTTTACATAACTTTTTTTAATATTTAGATCAGTTTTTTTTTCTAACTTTTTAATAATTAGGTTTCAATATTTAAAACATAATAATTGATTCCTATATTAATTTAAAAATATCAATTAAGGTTCATTTCGAAAATAAGCGACTCAATTTTAAAAAATTAAAGTATTGAAAAACGTACCCAGGTTTACAAATGCACGTGTAGTTGTTGATACCATCGACACATGTTCCACCATTCATACAAGATGACTCAGTACAATCTTCATCGTTGGTTTGACAATTGATTCCAGAAAATCCAAGCGGACAGGTACAAGTGTAGGAGTTGACATACTGCGTACAAGTTGCTCCGTTCAAACATGGCTGAGAGAGACACTCGTCTATGTCAGTTTCACAATGCTTATCACCGAAACCATCAGCACACAAACAATTGTAGTCACCGATTCCGTCAAGACATGTTCCACCGTTTTGGCAAGGGACTGTTTGAACAAAAATAATTATAATATTACATGAAAAACAATATTAGTAAAATTAATATGGTATAGAATAAAAAACTCACATGAAGCGCAATCATCAGTGTTAATGAGACAATCTACTCCTTCGTATCCTTTAGCACATATGCAAGTGTAAGATCCGTTTGTGTTCCGGCATGTAGCGCCATTTCTACACGGAGCTGAGATGCTGCACTCGTCAACATCTTCATGACACAGGCGACCGGTGTATCCGACGGAACACTGGCAGGAGAAGTCAAGATAATTCGGTGAAGGAGTGCACTTAGCACTATGTTGGCATCTGAAAAAATAAAATTATTATTAGTAATATTATTAAAATTTAATAATTCAACAATGAAATTAAATTATTGAGTATATATTTATATATATTAAAAAGTTAATTTTCTTACAGATTCGGCGTGCAAGGATCCATTTTGTTTTGACAATCCGCACCAGTGTAGGGTAGCTGGCATACACATTTATAACCATTGACAAGGTCAATGCACGAGCCACCATGGCGACAGGGTGCATGGGCACAGTCATCAATATTGGTCTCGCAGTTGGGTCCTGTGTAACCTGCGATGCAAGAGCAAGAGTAGGCATTCAGGTGGTCGTGGCAAATTCCTCCGTGCTGGCAAGGGTTTGATCCGCATTCGTCAATGTCATATTCACATCTTTTTCCTGAAAGAAAAGATATTTTAATATTATTAATGAAATAAAAAAAAAATAATATGGTCATAAAGTTTTGACTATTTCAAAAAGATAAACCAATAAAATCTATTTCTAAAATATTCTAGAGAGAAAAAAGATATATATATATATATATAGTCATACAAAGGTTCACAGAAAGGTACAGAGCAAATATCTGGCATGTCCACTCAGATGACTTTCCTACCAATTTCTGACAAATTTAATACACTAAAATTAAGTAAATTAAAAAGCAAAATTGAACTAGTATTATTTTCTTGAGAAACTGATACCACTAAGTTATAAGCATACAAAAATCATGTTACACGCATTGCCTATAAAGAAATAATGTTTTTTTATATTGCCGATTTCTAAAATCATCTGATCAACCAGCATTACATTAATTATCTTGCCACAGTGGTTAGTCTTTCTTCCAGAAATTAGGACACAGAAGAATCTGATAAAAGAAAGATGGAAAAGTATCCACTACCACCATTCTATTTGGAAACTGAAGAAAACAAAACAACAACATATAAACTTGGTCCAGTTAACTTCATCTAAGTGCTATACTTTTTCAAAAACATGAAAATAAAACAAACAAAAGGCTTAACTCAAAAGAGTGTTAAATATTCTATCATCTGTTTAATCTATCTGTAATCGACCCCACTACATTTATCCCCTTACCTAATGATAGGGAAGTAACAATTGTTGCATTAAATAAGAAATTAATTGAAAATTATTTCCTATATAATAAAAGTACTTATAATTTTACAGATAATCAAAATAATTTTTAAAAAGCTTATTCTCACCTCCATAACCAGGCCTGCAGTGACAAATAAATTGGTTCAAGCCATCTTCACAGGTGCCTCCGTTGGAACAAGGATTTGAAGCGCATTCGTCCACATCACTCAAACATCGCGCATCATAATATCCTCTCGGGCATTCACATTTAAAGCTATTGACTAGATCTATGCACCTGCCTCCGTTCGCACAAGGGTTAGATGAACACTCATTGATGTTGGTTTCGCAATGGATTCCAGTAAATCCAGGAAGACATTCACAAGTATACCTGCAACGATTAAATAATTGAATAATTCAGAAAAAAAAAATAAAAAAAGTGAATAGTTAAATTTTAATGGCTCTTACCTGTTGATACCATCGATGCATTTGGCACCGTTGCGACACGGATTGCTATAACACTCATTGACATTGATCTCACAGTTTGGTCCTGAAGTTCCTGGTCTGCATCGACATTGATATCCATTGATAAGGTCTTCGCAATGGCCTCCATATTGACAAGGTGAGGAAGCACACTCGTCAAGTTGGGTCTGACAAAGGTAACCAGTGAATCCCGGATGGCATAAGCAGGTGAAAGAGTTCTCTCCGTCGATGCATTCTCCTCGATGACATGGTGAAGACTGGCAATCATTGATGTTCGTTTCACAGTTAGGTCCTGAAAAAGGAAATATTGTTAATAAACTTAATAAGAAAATATTTCATTAATATTTTAATATTGGAGCACGGTTTTTTATAAAATAAAAATGCAAAAAACCTCTACCATTACAATCCATGGAGGGTTTTGCGTTCAGAACTTTTTAAGAAAGTACAGTTTCAAGGCCACTTCAAGGGAGGAGATTAGGCCAAGATCACACTCAACCACCAGATTTTCCTTCTTAATTATGTAATTAAGAGTATCCACTTTATAGAGGCTGGTTGTGCCTCAGGAGGTTCTCCTGACACCAGGGTCAATCTATGGTTGATATAACAGAATAAATATTTACCTGTCATAGCTGAACCTTGGGACATGAGCATCAGAAGTCAGTGCCTTATTCACTGACTTATCCCACTCCCTTATTAAGAAAATTAAATAAAATATTCAAAACTAATAATTTCTTTGTACACATTTATTAGAATTTAATAATAGTTTCTTTCTTTTTAGGACTATCCGTAAACATAATAAAGCACAAAAAATAATAGTTTGTCCAATAGCTGATTCAACAAGGCTGTTGCATCATAAAAATATAATTTAGAAATTGATTAATACATGAGAGAATTAAAAGCAATACAAGTTATAAATAAAATAACAGAACCAGCTACTGTTCCCAAATAGGTGAGTGAAACTACAGCTGTGTTTAATTAATGAACTGGTTCACTTCCTCCTGGTTTCCATATCTTAGAAGGAAAAAAAAAAAGAATGGAATTTATCATTTACAATTTCCACATTGACCAAAAATGCAGAACGAATGAACACCTGTTAATATCACAACTTGTAAAACTAGACAGTTATATAATACGCTATAAATAAAATTCCCTTAATTGAGTATTTCTATAGACAGGATATTATACTTTTTTTATCCCTTTCTTAACTTTTCGGCTATACATGTGTTTTCCTGGGTCAGGGGAAAGGATGGAAGATTAATGGCAGAGTTTGAATCCACCCAGCACCGGAACCTTAACTTGTAATTATTTATTATAATAAGATTATCAGATTGCCGGGGCAACGTGCGTTTTGCACACTTCTTACTTACTTCTTTAAATAGTTCCCATTACTTATTGGTTAACCCATTTATGGAGTTGAACTAAAGGAAAGGTAATCTATTGGTTGAACAGGAATAACTAACAACACTGGAAGTAAAGTTGCAAGATAAGGTTTCCAGGCACACCTAGTGGAAAATAATTTAACTACAATCACTACTTTGTTCGAGAAAATTAACCATCTAAAAGGGTCTATTAAGTATGTGGCGATCTTCCCTAGTTGTTGAAAACTACGTAACTACAATTTCTAGGACAAAACTTAGGTCGAGACACTTGACAGTGTAAAACGGCCTTAAGAAATGTGCCTCACTGGTTTTTTGCTTTTCGTTGTATAGAACGTCTGTCATGTAAAAGTCATTTGTTCTATAACATATATTTATTTAATTTATGAATTTTGCAACTGTATGAAAATAAAAATATATCTTGAAAATGTGGACAAAGAAATATGATATGAAAAGACTTGTATAGAAACCACCAATAGGAAGGCACTCTATAATATATCTAAATCAGGAGATCACGGAGCCATCTTCATTTCAGATGCTTTTGAGGTTTATCAGGGATCGATGAACAAGCAAGATTAGAAAGGAGGGGGTTAAAAATGGTTTTGAAGTTTAATATGGAAGGATAGGTATCTGGATTGGACCAAAGCGGAAACATATGGAGTATAAAGATCGTTATAGTTTTATTTGAAACAAAGTAAGGAGCATTGAGGATTTTGGGGTTGGAGATAATTCGATAGTTTAGTGGAGCCCCAAAGCTGAACTCCGTAATACAAAGAAACCTTATTATAGTCATGTTTAAGAGTATTTTGTAAATTATTGAAAGCTTAGAGCGTTAGTCTAGTAAGTGCTAAAGCAGTCGAAAACATCGAGTGGTTTCTTGTTGTTTCAGTCTGGTATGAGGAATCCAAGATAGACGTTTATCCAGACACTAGCGAATCCAGGATTTGATTAGGGAGGGGAGGGCTTCAGCCCGAAAGCTTTTTTTTTTCATAAAAATGACGATAATTACTTTGGAAAAAAAGAAAGAAACTAACTATCTATATGAAATGGTGTTTAAGTGATTCCTTATGTCATTTTATATGTAATTACACGAACAATAATACTTTAAGAGATAATTTTTTTCCATAAAACATGGTTATATTGGGGGGGGGGCTTCAGCCAGAAAGCCCTCCCCCCCGTAGATCCGCCCGTGTATCCAGATGAAGTCCTAAAATTAATGAAATCAAAAGGGGAATATTAATTTGTGGGTTTAAGAGAGATATCCGGGACAGAGAAGTATTCGTTTCGGGAAGTTTCGCTGTACATGTTTTAGTTATATTTTATTCTTTTACGAATCGATTTATATAGGATTGAAACAAAAAAAATTCAATTCAATAGTTAGTTTGGTACTCCAGTGTTGCCAGATGAATCAAAACAAATACAGCCCGACCAGGTCCTATAGAGATGTGTTTTGGGACGAGATAGATTCAAGTGTGGTGGGGGGGAGGGGCATACCAGAGGCCTTCAAGGCGAACTGCTATGATTCAGTGCAGCCAACCTCTGCCCTCCATCTTCCCCGCTCTCCGGAGGATCCGGTATGTTAATGTGGTATTTAAAAGGACTGCCCTATCAGTAATAATATTTATATATTAGCTCAGCTGATGATGTATCGGCTGTAAGTATCGATAGTTAGTAATACCGATCGGGGAGATAGGATCTAGAACAGGGGCAGCTCATTAGGAAATCGATGTTCCGACTCGATTCATCTGTTATTAATGAGATCATTAGTTATGATTTGAATTAAGAAGTTTATAAATATAATTAAGTTTCCTCCCATATTTCCTCATAATGCAGATGTATAAATGAATTAAATAAGATAATAAAAAAGCATTTAAAAACATGAAAAAATAAATTATTTTTTTGACGCGTCCTTACATTTAGTAGTATATATTGTCGGCTTATTGCACAAATTCATCAAGTGACATTTTATAACCTTAAATAATTAGGAAAATCAAATATTATCACTTTGTAATTATGGTCATGTTGTAACTATATTACATATACAGGGTTTATTACATTTTTATACACTTAGAGTGTATATGTATCGATAAATAAAGCCAAAATTCACAAAATCGTTTTTAAAAGTTAACCTATATCTTACATTAGTGATTTTTTTGCAATAAACGGACGATATGTACTACAATTAAAAAAAGAGAAGATATTGTAATTTTTGCTCAAATCACTTACATTTGAAAAAACGTGGTACAATGAAAAAAAAATTTGTTTTTTTGAGGAAATGAAGAACCCGAAAATCTTTCCCTCTCTCACGTAGATCCGTCAGTATTTTCATATATTACGTTTCGGTTATTTTTTAAACTTGATTCTATCCAACGTTAGAACATTATTAAATCATTATTCTATACAACATTATTAAATTCTAGGAGGAATAAATAAAATTATATAATTTTATTTTCTGATTTATTTCTCTTAATTTAGTTATTTAAAGTAACTTTCCAGATTTTATACGAATGAGTTGCTTTATTTTTATTTTTAGTTACTTGGCAACTATTAAACAAAATTAAAATTTAATAGAAGTGAAATTACAGATACATAAAATAAACATTAACAACAATAGTATAAAGATAGTCAGATAAAACAGTCAGATCCAAAGGTAAATTGTTTTTCACTATGGAAGACACCCAATTATTGGTCAAAACCAGGATGTTGCTCTGGATGATACATTTTATAACATGAATTAAAAATTTGACGATGGAGCACATTATTATGAATTTTAAGATAATTACAAATTTATTGTAACAACAAAATTCAAACATATAATGTAACAAGCACAATATTTTAACTCAAACAATTTTTTTAGCCTTGCATCCACAAGATTATTGGGATTGTAGTTCCGAAGATGGAAGAAAATATCCTGAAACGTCAACTAACTTGATAGCATGTAACGTTGATAAAAGAGATATACTCAATTGTTACCAATTGGAAGTTATTATTGTCAACTAAAAATAAATAGACAACTTCCCAGAAAAAAGAGTTGCTTTCGTTAAAAATAATCAAGACAACAGCTGTTCATTTAGTTATATTCAGTCAGCTGTTTTAAATAACACTGTTGCTATCTATCTTATTCTTCTGACATCGTGTAATCGTTAAAAAAATTTAAGTAATTAAATACCTAATTAAAATAATTTATTTCTCTTTAATTACTAATGGATTGCCATTTAATAAATCAAGAATCCTTAAAGGAAGTTTCCTTCCACGAAATGATTCGATGATGATAAGTTGGTTGCAAGGATATTTACTGCCTCAACAACTATCATTCAATTAATAATCGACCTAAAATCCTTGGCCCCTATCGATCATTAATCATAATGAACCACTGCATATTTATCACTTTTAATGGCACTGCTAATTTCAGCCCACTGAAGCGATCCAGATAAAGGAGGCATTGCTTCATTCGACAGTTTAGTAAATTAGTGCTAATTTCCATTGTCGACATGACAAAAGCTATTGTTCACTGGATCCTCGTTCAGTATCTCTATTTAACATATTTAATCGACTTTAGATCATGTATGTTAAATACTTGCAGCATGACATTTAGATCATAAACATCTTGTTCGGCAGAATTTCTCGTTCTTTCGAACATCTGGACCAATTTCGACGATATTCTAGAAGGCTAGTACAGTTGAGATCATAATTGTAAGGGAGTGTAAAAAATTCAGAGAAAAAAAAATCTTTCATGGCAAAATTATAAAGAGTCAAAGTCCGATTTATGTAGTTTAATATGTAGACAGTTAAATAATTTTCATTGGGCAATTGAGTGGCTCTATTAAAAAAAAAAAAAAAAGAAATTCCTAGATATTAACTATTGTTTGGTATTGTTCGGAAACATTATTGTTCCTAAAACTATTATACAATATTTTATATCTTTCATCTGTAAAATAAAATTATTATGTTGAAATAAACTAACCAGTAAATCCAGGATGGCAGTCACACGTGTAGCCGGCTATCGAATCCCTGCATACCCCGCCGTTTCTGCAAGGACTGCTGAGGCAGTCGTCGATGTTGGTCTGGCAGCGACTGCCGGTGAATCCGATCGGGCAGGTACACTTGAAGCTGTTGATGAGGTCGTTGCAGATACCACCGTTCATGCAGGGGTTCATCTGGCATTCGTCTATGTCCACTTCGCACTGCGTACCCGTGAATCCTGCAAAAGAAAAAAAACATTAAAGAACCAAGTAATAATTTATGCATGCTAAAAGAATGCCTCCAGAAAGATTTCCAAAGAAAAGTACCGTATTGTTAAAGGAATTTGGTAGACTATACTAGATATCATGAGTGACAAACAGTCAGAGCGCAGTCAATTTAAGGTTTTTATAGTTGTTTCAACGTTTCAACCCATGATTGGTCTGAAACTTTGTAAACAATAAAAATCTTTAAATGACTGCGTCCTGACTGTTTGTCACCCCACGATAAGTACTGAAAAAGGAAGACCGTAGGTAAAACAGACAGATGAGAAAAGATTTAAAACAACTTGAATCGAAAGGAATTGTTTATTATTTTATAAGATATTTGGGTCGAGAAAACTATAGTAGTCGAAAATTCCTTACAAAAAAATGTAGTAATTTAAGGAAAACATGAAACCTCCAATACAAGAACTTATTTTTTATTAATACACAAAAATGTCTATCAAGCATGTGTTATAGCTTTGTCCAAATGCGAGACCAAGACGAATATTGGTATTTAGCAATCAGTATTGATCTTGGTCTTGGTTCAAGACTGTTTGCAACTGTTTTGCAGTTACCTATTAGCTTATTACTATATAGATATTACTGTAATTATTCAGATAGGAGAAACTTAAATAAGCCCAAATCAAAAATTGGAGTTAAATGCAAAAGTATATAATAGTAACTATTTTGCCTTAATTTTTATTCACAAAAACGATGTTTTTTTTACCAGTCTTGGGTCTTGGTCTTGCAAAGTGGAAGACCAAGACAGATTTTGAGCAACACTAATGTGCTAACAGGTTATTCTACGGATTTTTAATTTTTGGTTGTATTGGCAAACAAAAAGAAGTATTGACATACGAAAGTAGACATATATTAGACTTAAATTAAAATCCATAAAAAAATCCGATAACCCATCCCTGAAATGTCATCCAACCAAAATTGGTAGGTAGTCAATTAATAAATACTGAAATAAAGAAAAAAATAAAATTATGTGGCGAATTACACAACTTTCAATTAACACCTACTTTTAATATACATTTGTTATTATAATAAATAAACTAATAAAAAAAATATGACTATTCTGCAGACTATTTATTTTTGGTTTGTCAAAAAAAAAAAATTAAATTGCCCATTTATTTCCTCTGAAAACATTTATTTATTCGTCTTACAATAATTATTATTCAATAATAATAAAAGTACACATTACTAACTTTTTTTTTTTCATTCAAGAAATATTTTCGATATTTCAGAATGGAACGTTTTTTAAAAAACAATATGAAGGCAATAACTTAGGCGACAGTTATCGCAAGGCATTAAAGACATTATGCACTCGACGATGAGCAAAGGAACGTTCCAAACAACTCCAGCTCCATAAAAGGACCCGCTGGACGACTTGTCCGGGCTGAAGAAGGCGAGATTCCTCCTCGCGCCATATGGCGAAGACACTCATCCGAGGAGAAGAAGAAGAAGGCTCTCTAGGGGATGTACAGGTGTCTGCCTTGTTACAGGCCATCGCCTGTCCTTATACGGCACCCATCTCTCTTCTTTCTTTACCGTCTTTTATTTTCATCTGTCGCCGGGGTGGTATCAGAGATGGGCTTGTTAAGGTCTTCAATAAATTAATAAAAAAATAAAAAGTAAAGACAGTCTATGAAGAGTCCTATACGAAACGGTTTATGGGCACACTTCGGCATGTTAGGGCGTTAAAGTCTCCGTCTTATCGAGCTCAAGTAACATGCGTAGTAACAAAACGGAATCCAGAGGTAGCTTTATGGATGAGAACTATCATGGTGCTCACAGAGTTTGGGAGAAATATAGCCTTATGGAGAAATATATTATATAAATTATCCAACTATTTAAAATCTATTTTTGTGGGCTTAGGTAATTTACTAATGTAAGAGAGTAAAAACTCACCAAGAGACAGAAAATCGATGTATGGTTTATAATTAGATAATTTCCTACTCACAGCATTGTGTCTTTAAAAAACAAGTAAAGAATAATTTCGTCAATTCAGACATCATCAAGAGAAAATAGAAAAGAAACCCAAGATCACACCAACCCATGACATCCAATCGCATACTGGAAGAAATATGAGGTAACACAAGTAAGATTATAATCAAGCAGCTGATCAGAAAAAAAAACAGCTGATCTCGCAAAATTAATAAAACTGATTGGCTAGATTTATTAGACGTATCCAAGATGTTCGACTTAACAAAATAAAATGTATTCGAGTTTCTAATGTTAATCCTATAATTAATAGCATTATCAAACTTCCGTGCAATTTGCCATGGTCTGAAATATCTATCTTTCAGTATAATTCTTCTCTTTCTAAATATATAAATCAATTAATTAATTTCATTGGTGCATTTGCAAATATCTATATCTCACAAAATATGTATCCTTTCAAAAGAATGATAATTTATTCGCAAGTATTAATCGTAGTAGACATATTTAAAAAAAAATTCTTCCTTACTACTATTTGTTCCTTATATATTCGCCATTGGTTCCACAATAAATATGTCCTAATACGAATAAATTCCACGAGCTAAAAAAAAAAAAAGAAAATAATAATGAAACTAATGAGACACGGTTTTCCATGTTCCAATCATTTTTCGTGACTTATGAGAAGGATTGTTACAGGAAACTCGCCATTAGAGATGAAAATGTACCAAAGAATTTCCTGAGTGAAAAATCGTTTGGATGGTATAATCTGAGATGATTGCCAAAGAGGACCCGTCTAAGATTACTGTGATTGGTCAGGATTTGTGGACACGGAGGAAGTTAAGTCAAACGTAATGGCATCATGGTCAAACTTCGAAAACTATAATATAATTATAATAAAAAGCCAGAATTTAGTACAAGTTTTATTAAAAATATACCATTGAACCCCAACAAATATCTGATATACATACATCATATTATATATACATCTTTCCTTTAATAATAATGTTATTACCACAAATTAATAATTTGGTTATGCTATAGTCGAAAATCTCAGTTAACAAACGATACGTCTTAGCAACTCCGTCAAAAACTGAAATATATTTCTATAAATGGTACTTCTGTAGTGGCCGAAGTTTTCTAAGAGCAAAAACTTACGTAATAAAAGTTGTAATAAATTTGTGTTTGAGTGGTTTACTAAATTTCATATTTTATAATAATTTAAAAAATTTTACTACGTAATCAAAGAAAGTTTCGAGAACCAGATTAGAGGTTCTCGCATTTGGAGATCTCTGATCTAAAACATAATATCTCAAATTTTTTTAAGAACACAAAACTTTTGTGTGAAGTTTATGAACACAAAAAAATTTCGAAGTTCGGAACAATCGAACCGGCCAGAAACTATTAGAGAGAACCATGAGAAATGGCATGGAGCATCGGGCATCTTTATAAAGACCATCCATTTCAATCGATTACGACACGGCGAAGATGGGATGAAGAATCGATCTTGAAGCAAATGGCAGAGCGTCGACCACATAAATACATCGATTTCTGGACAGTTTTTACATAACGGACTAGAAGAGAGCCCCATTGAGAACTTGCAAAGATGCGAGTTACGTAACTCATGTCTTATACGATATACGAGGCCATGTTCTCACCAATCATTAATGAATGAATTTTTCTTTTTCAAATATTTTTAAACCGTTTTGGAATTATTAATTAACGGCAAAGGGAAGCATTCCATGAGGGCTTAAGAATTTTATTTAATTAGTATTAATTAAATATTTCTTTCGAAGGTTTTTTAATATTATCTACTGCAAAACCATTATATAATTTTATAGAGCATTAAAAAAATTATAAATAATACTATGTTTAACGTTGAATGTAATGCTCAAAATCTATTTCAGTTGAAAATTAGAGGATGCCTGAACTCAAGAAAACAATATTTAAAAAAGTATTTTATATTTGAGTAAAGTTTCAAAGAATAATTAACTCAAAGAAAATATCGAAATGACCTATCCCTCCTATCCACATAATGAAACCAATAATAATGGTATGGAGATAATTGAGCGTAATTCTAATCTAAGAAGAAGTTGGTCTGAGGTGCACTGAGTAAATATATTATAGTAATGGTACGCGTGGTACCAAACCAACTCGTGGTACTCGTAGTGGTAGCAAACCGGATATAAGATGTATGTACATAGTGTGATAAAATAACATCGAGTTTGTATCTCTCGGTACCAATGGGGGCTATTAAAGCTGGCATTAATACCCCGCCCTCTCTGCCTGACCTGGGAAACCTCCGTATAGCCCAAAAGGTGGGGAAGTGGAGAAAAAAAAGTGGAAATGCCAAAATTCATTTCATGAGGCTATTATAAATAACACCAACTGAAGTAGTAATTAAATTCTTTGGTACTTAAAAGAGGTCAGTATTTGCGTAAAATACTTAGTACTCAGTACTCAAAGAAGCATTTTCCCATCTCTGGTTCAGAACCAAGCAATCTCGGACACATGTCCTAACTTGCTCGGCCATCCCGTTCTTATCTACGTGTATAGTATAGTAAAAATACAACCAATACTACTATAACATTCTAATTATTAAACTAGAGAGATATTCTCCAGTGGGGCACGCTATTCACTTATTAACTTTGCTCACTTAAACATTCATGGTAACTTTTGAGGCTTCATTAATTTGTGTGTTGCATAGACTGTCTTGATAATATTACTATACAATATAACTTGAAAATGAGAAACATGTGATGTTACTCAAATGCATTTGGATAGTTATCAAATGTTTTCCACTGGAGTATACCAGTTCCTTTATTATTTGTAGCTTCATACATTGTTTAATATTCACTCTCTTCGGAACCATATCCTGGAGGACCTGCGTTCTTCGAGTTTCGCCAGGGATCAGATTGCTAAAGGCCAGCTAAGTCTAAAGACCCCGAGGAACCCCCAGGCGATCACACTCTAGAAGATTTACCGCCGGTTCAGGGTTCTGCCTCCAGGCGCATCGTGCACCAGGCGTTTCCCAACC